AAAGAGAAGCCAGATCTATTAGAGTAATACGTATAATCCTAGCACTCAGAGCTGGCACCATTAGATTATGAGTTTGAGGCCAGTTGGGCCACAGAACAAGTTTCTGTCTTGAAAGGAATGAGAAGAGAAGTGAAGGGAAGGATACTTATCTTTTTCTTTTTAATTTTATTGCTGAAGGAAAGATACTAAGAAGCCATGCAACATAAATGAAGAGGTGCCTGGGAAGAAAGAGAATATGAAAGCAATAGGATGTGTCAGAGAATGTGACAATAAAATTCTTATACAGAAGAAAGAAAAATTTTTCTAAACTTGAGCTTCAAATTCAAGCTTGATCTTTGACAAATTTCAGGAAATGGATGGGTTCATCTGCTCAGTATACAGTGGTGACAGCTAAAAGCCAGTTCATTAAGAATGCCTTCTGTTAGACTAAGCTTCTTTTTCATGCATAAAACCAGGGTAGGTGCTATGTCTAAATCTTGACAAACAACCAGCTGTTTAAATTTTTTTAAAGAAAATAGAGAATTAGTTATACAATTTTACATTCATAACTGGTTGAAAAAGTTGAAAATCATCCATCAAAATTTATGAAATAGCTTTATTGTTGCCAATAAAATGAAGATATCGAAGTAAAATTGCCATATTTTTGAATTGATACATAAAAATAGGAGAGAGGCTTATATATTAAATGAGTAGAATCCAAAAGATGAATTAAGTAGAAAAAAACTAAGTGCATTAGGGATAAACATATAATATTAAAAAGTAGGAGTCAGAGTTGTAACTCAGTGGTACAATGAGTGCTTAGCATGCAAAAGTCCCTAGGTTAATTCCCAAAACACAAATAAATTATATAAACTATTTCATTGGAATTATAATCATATATTAATAATAGCTTATATGTGTATGATAAGTATGCCAATATTTTATTGGCATTTAAACATATATCCATAAACACAGGATAGAAGAAACATGACTTGTTAGCACCACCTATACACAAAGAAAGATTGGCATAAAATAGCAGTGGAATGTGGTTTCCTTTAAATGTCATACAGATTTTATTTTCATAGAATTTTGATGATTTCGATGAGAGACAGGTCTTCTGTGCTACTCTTCTAGAATCATACCAGACTACATATTATTTCATTTTCACACACCTCAAGGTTAGTAAGATGTCCCTGGACTATGTCCCCTTGGGTGAGGGAGGTACGTGATAAAAGAGTGAGAGAAGTTGCCACCATGTCTCATAGGAAGAGTTTGGATTATTTGGTATTAAGGAAACTCAGAGGTCCAGGTAGTTATCATGGAAACTTGAGCAGTACTGTGTTGCGGGAGGCATTAGAAAAAAACAGTAGGTCCGGCTGGCTGCCGGCCTGACCACCATGTTCCCGCTCTTAGCTCTTAGTTCCTGCACTAATGGAGGCACTGGCTGGTTAGGAGCGCCGGCTGGGAACCCAAGAGATGTTGGCATGGCTATTGCCTCTGCTGGTCAGCTCCATGGAGTCCATGGCTCTAAGCATGGTTCAAGGGCCAACTCCGTCACCTCCACGCGGTAGGTATAACAATTCCCAGTACCTGGTAGAAATAAGACTTCTAATGTTTAATATTAACCAAATAGATTTATATATCAGCAAATATTCAATACACTAGATGCCTGTACAATTAGAATTGTTAACCCAAATTATCTAACCTTGATATGAATAACTGCTAGAGACATGAGGGTAACATCTCCTGACATCTTGCTTCTCCTTCTGTCCCTTCTCCTTTCTCTCTCCTCCTTCCTTCTTCCTCTCCACTCCTAGCTCTGCCTACCTCTTCTCTATCCAATGACAGAGCTCCTGCCACAGTACTGGTTGTAACTTATGGTGCTGAGAGAAGGGGATATGTATGGAAGATATATTTCCACTAAGAGCCAGGGCTGGATTAGATCCTCCACCCTGAAAATATGCTCTAACAAGCCACGCTATACAAGACTTGTGTGCCACTGTTCTTTTCACAGAGTATGTGGTAATCAAGGAAACCTCTTCTAGAGCCTCATCCCGGTAGGCTGTATATGTCACAGCTCAGATTGTACTCATATAATCCTAAATGATACCCCTAGTGTCTTGTGAAATCAGGGAAGAGCCAAAACCTAATGTTCAGAGTACTCTCACCTATCTTAAGCAGCTATCACTCAGTTTCTGAACTCCCTAAGGCATTGGTCTTTAGGAAATTGATGAATTTTCTAAACTACATCAAAAAGGGTAAAGATAGTAGAAACCTGAAAGAAAGCTGTAGAGCAAGACTTCTTTTCTTCCAGGGACATCTATTGTTTCCAGCCTCCAAAACCAACCAACCAACCAACCAACCAACCAACCAAACTAACTAACTAAACCAACAACACAAAACATTATCACTGTTCTTGGATGCTATATCTTGTTCTGTGCTCTTGATGTATTTGATTCTCTTCAAATCAGTGTCTCATCTGTATACTGATATTCCTTCATTATATAATCCTGATACTTTCTGGAGGTAACTGATAGAACTTTAAGAGTAGCCAGAGAATACAGTGCCCAACACATGGTAAGCAATAAATGAGTTTCAGATGCAGTCGCTTCTTCCTCATCATCACCATCTTCATGGCATGTTAGTGTTAAGTGCTCATTGGATATGTTTGTCTTTCTCAATCAAGCAGATATGTTATCTTTGTTTTTGTCTCCAACATAACGTTAGTAATTTGATTATTGAATAATTGAGACTATCTTGATTAGTAAATGACAGTATCAACTGTGGTAGCTCTGTAAGCCACATAATTGTTGTCTTTCATGCTTTAAAAATAATGAGATTCAGCTACAGTTTCCTTAAGAGTCTGTCTGACCTAGAAGATCTTAGTCAGAGATGGAAGATCAGGAACTGAAGCCTGAGAGAGACCTTTTCTATCTCCCAGAACACCTGCTTTTACCTTGCTGAGTGTATGTTAAAATATTGTGGTTCAGTTTGGCTTAAAGTGGGCATAACTAGAGATGTGTGGACCCAAGAAGAGAGATTTTAGAGACAATGGAGTCAGAGCAATGTAGCTTTTAAAGTTTTATTCACATCAATAAATTATGTTTTGTACATTTGGATTCTTCTTTTGTTCCTCTTAAGAATAGCACTTAGTTAAATACTTATAAGTGTAAAATATTACCAATAACCAGAGTTGATTTCTATATTTTTAATTTACTTATTATTATTTTAGATAGAGTCTCATTATACAGCTTTGGCTGACTTGGAACTCACTATGTAGAACAGGATGGCCTTGAAGTCAAAAGATCTGCCTTATTCTGCCTCCCAAGTGCTGGGATTAGACATACACCACCATGCCCAACAAAGTGATTTCTTTTTAAAAGAGAATATAGGACTGGAGAGATGGCTCAGTGGTTTCTTAATTTATTGCTCTTGGAGAGGACTTAAATCACTTCTACTTACATAGTACACAACTGCCTATAACTGTAGTTCCAGGGGGATCTGACACCCTCTTTTGAGCTCTGTGGGTGTCAGGCATGCACATGATACATATACTATATGTACATGTAGGCAAATACTCATACACATAAAATAAAAATAAATAAATCTTTATAAAGGAAAGAGAACATAATGTTCACTATAAATGTAAAGAGCTACCAAATCAGACAGCTTATTAAGGAAATACATTGTGGTCTTGATCATCTGCTTCCTAAATATTATTAGAAGGGGTATTTTCAATGCATGATAAGCCATGATTGCATTGGCAAAGAAATTATTTCTGGCATACAGAAGCTTTGAAAAATAATAATTTTGATACTCCAATTGATTCTAAGGATTGCTATTCAACAAAGGCTAACTCTGCTTTAGAAATGTTTTATTATCCCTTGCTGATAAGCATAAAGATTTCAGGGTACATATCTAGGCCTTTTTTCCTTCCACTGTACTTACTTAAAGAAGGTCAGCATGGACCTGGTTAACTTAAAAATTGCATATCTGGTGGCTCAATTAAAATTCAGTAGCTTTCTAAATTTGTCAATAGAATCTTAGCTCAAGCCTGTAAATCCAGAATTTGAGATGACTTGGCTTTATATTTTTACATATCTAAACTGTTCACCAAAGGAAATGCTTCAAGAGTAATTTTCAAGTCAACTCTCATTTTTACCTTTTTTAAAGAATTTTTGGAAAAATATTATGTATGCATTTCCAAATAGCCTCTTGCATGTTTCTAATATTGTGAACTCGATGCCAGAAAGCAGACTGATTTTTGATGGTTTATATACCTAGTTTCTTGGAACTGTTGATTAACATAATGACAAGTTATAAAATTTACTTAATCTAATGTGAATTATAGTATGTGTTTTTAAAGTAATAAAACAAAGTGAGCACCGTTAATAAGGTTGATTTCCTTCATCAGTCCTGTTTATTAAAATTTTATTATATAATGAACCATTTAAGATTTCTGCTAACAATTATTTCCAACACATACAATCAATTTTCAGAAAACTGTAAATATAATTTTCTTGTTTAATATCTTATTAATAAAATATTGTTTGGCTTTCTCAAAATATCTGTGAGTTTAACAATATTAGTATATGCCCTGACAATAAAATATTATTAGCTGAGTATATTTCATTTTAGAACAGCATATCTATTTGCTAATTAAGTAATCAGCATTATGTTCAAGTTCAGAAGTTAAAATTTTTAATATTAATAGGTTCTGATTTTAGAGGAATCAAAACACCAAATATGAATGGCCGTAGGACATAATATACTTTTAAACTCTTGCTACTAATTTTATATCATTAGTTTTTTCTAATATTATATTAATTAAAAATTCAGTCTTTTCTATTGGTTAAGGAAAAAAACACACCAAAAAAAAGAAAAAAAAACCCACTTAATCTAGATGTTTCCAAGTGAATGCTCCATTCCTCACTAAATCTCCGGCAGCTGATTTAGTTACTGTTGCTAACACCTTTATGTCATCTCTTTGTATACATGTCTAATTTATTAGTTTCTTGTAGATTGTCAGCAGCCTGCTGCCTCCGTACCGCCACAGTGCTCACAACTAACTGGGAGGCAAGACTACCCAACTGTCAGGTAAATTCACAGGTCCTTTCTTTTCCCACCAGCTGCATGTTAGCTCCCCTCCCCAAGACCATAACTACCTATGCATCCTTATATGTTATTGCATGTTTTTCATGAATTGGCTACATGACTTCACCCTTGTTCATATTCCTTATGAGCATGCACAGGAGTTAGTGCTATGTCATTAACCACTAGCTGATAGAATAGAGGCTGCTTCGTTTCCCCTTTGTGAGCAAATACTTGAGCTATTCCAGTGTTTCATTGCCTCCAATCTTAAACATGTAATTGTTAAGCTATTTGAGCTACTTTTGTTTTATCTTTTTGTCCTTCAAATATATTTCTCAGGTAAACAAACAGGGAAATATATGAAACTTACCTAATGTCCATCCTAGGACAGTTTTAATGGTTTCCATTTTCTGTTTACTCTATTCCATTGTTAAAGCTGAATTGAAAAGGTCTAGAAAGCCATTTGTGATAGTGCATACCTGTAATCCCAGCACTTTGGAGGCTGTGGTAAGAGGTTGAGTTTGAGATCAGAATGAGTTATATAGTGAGTTCAAGGCCAGCTTTTAATACAGAATCACTCTGTCTCCAAAATCTATAAAAGAAAAAGAGGAAAGGAGGGAAATGGGGGAGAAAACCTCAAATCTGAATTCCCAAAAGAATATTTGCAGTGATTATTTTCCCTTTATCTGAAATGAAGTGTTTTAAAGGCACGTTTAAAACTTCCTAGAGTCCCTAGGCACTGAACTGGAGAGTTTGCTGACAATTCATATTTGATTTTTAAGCTCTCCAAAACAATTACTAGTTCCCTCCATCCTGAGTAACTACCCACAGCCTAGAATCATCCCATCAGAACCTCTTCATCTCCATAGTGTCTTTCATCCTCACTTGGTTCTCTTGGAACCAAGCTTCTGGAGTCTGGATATGATCTTTAGAGTCTACTTATTAATATACCTTAATGTATCTTTTGTTCTCCTACCAGAGGAGGGCTTATATCATGCAAGGACCAGCTCAAAAATAGCTCCATGTGTGTGTGTCTGTGTGTGTCTTAGATGAGTAGCTGTTAGTTGCAGAATATATGTGATCATGCCTCTGCTGGATAATCACCAATACAGAAGCAATACATCCAAAGCTAGTGTATTATGTGGTCTATTGCCTAAGTAAGTAGAGCACTGCCCCTAGTGTTGTAGACTGAACCTGTGCTCTCTCATATGTTAGGTCAAGGGGTCTACTACTGAGCTGCATTCCCAGCCCCCAAAGTACATTATTAAATAGTCACTAGACAGTGTCTTCTAATTAATGTCTCTTAGAAAGCTGATCAATAGCACTTCAAGTAAGAGAATATTTAGCTCAGAACTATTTTCTCTCTCTCTCTCTCTCTCTCTCTCTCTCTCTCTCTCTCTCTCTCTTTCTCTCTCTCTCTCTCTTAGATTTATTGACTTTATTTTTTTGTGTGAATATTTTGCTTGTATATATGTATGTACACCACATGTATGCTTGGTACTTGAGGAGGTCAGAAGAGGGCATTGGATCTCCTGGAAGTAGAGTTAGAGATGGTTGTAAAGTACCGTGTGGGTGATGAGAATTGAACCCAGGTCCTCTGCAAAAATAACATATACAATTACTGAACCATCTCCCCAGCCCCTCAGAAATGTTCTTTACTAATGTATTATGGCATTTACAGCAGTAACCAGTTCTAGATGACTTCAATTATGTAAGTAACTGAATATTTAGTATGAATGCTCACGTTAATCTGAGAGGGATTCTATAGTATAGTATAGTATAGTACAGTACAGTACAATTTGGGGACCTGGAAACCTGTAGTCTGCATTCCACAAAGTGGCCTCCCTCATTTGGAGCACTAGGGTAGTGTCAATGCAGTACAGATGCTCCATGAATGCTGACTACATGTGTGAGTAAATGAGCTTTGGAGTCAGACGTCTAGCTTGTAATTCGACCTCTTACACTCCTACATGTGTAATCTTGGAAAGCTGCTCGTGTTGGCTATGTTTTTGGGTTTTTGTTTTTTTGTTTTTTTTTACTAAGGTAAGGAGGAAAACAGACATTGGAGGACTTCAGTGATGAAGGGCCTGACATGTTTGCCGTGTTTGCTGTTAGCACTAACACTTTGTACACTGCCATCCCTGACCAAAATCTTGTTTATTTTGTGACAAATCTAGTTTTCTTGGGCAGAGTTGTAATACTACTGCTTTAAGAATTTCCATAAGGCGGTAATGCAGATGTTTTCCTTCTCTTCTAAGATTACTAAATTTAGGTGCTTCCCGTCTCCATGGTGGGGTGATTTGGTGAAAGATAAAGCAATTTAGAGAATTACAGACACCCTAGTTTCTATCCAAGTAGACATAGCATGTCCATAGCAGACTTTTCTTCCTTGTTATGGTTCACACAAAGAAATTATTAATACATAGAGGTTTGGAAAGTCTCCTCTTCAGTGTTGCTTAGGTTCTGAATGGTTTCTGCTGTAAGAGGATTTGAATCAATTCTGCACTTCCCTCTTACTCCTTCTGGGCAAGAAAGGCAGTATACAACCAACGTTAGAACTCATACTGGGTACCAGGCAAGGGTAAGTTCTTCACATGTGTTAGTCATTGTGATTCCCCTATAGGCTAAGCAACTATTATACTTGTCTAAAGGAGGAAGTCTAGGTGTAGGCAGACAAAACAAATGTCAGATGCCACATACTTTTTTAATACAATTGAGCCAAGTGACCTAACACCTATGGCTTGACCACTGTAGAGCATGGCTGCATCTCAGATAAGGAACCAGACATTGTACCTACAGTTGGTAAAAGAAAGCATATTTAAGTTATGCTGACTCAGTTTCTTTCCATTGAAAAGTGGATACTCAGTGAAACATGAGAAAAATTTCTAGGAACGCTGAGTGATTTCAGATCAGGTGTTCTCTGAGTTTCTCATTTTGAAAAAAAAAAGTTTACTTCCCTCCCATTTATATGTATATATTTATGTCATTTTTGTAACTTTTTTTTAGTACTGCAGATCAAATTCAGGGTTGTACATATGTAATCTACTCACATAATTTTTAAAGTATATGATTTCTTAATAAATAGTGTTCTTACACTGAAAATGTAGACCTTTTCCACATATGGCTTTGTTTTTTGAAACATAGTCTTCCTATGTTGTTTAGGCTTGTCATGAATACCTTGAACTCTGGGGCTTCAAGTGATCCTTCTTCCCCAGCTATCCAAATAGCTTTAATTGTAGGTGTATGCCACCATATATATACTTTTATATACTATATATACCGTATATATACATTTTTATACTTCATTTTTTGGCATTAATTAAGGTTTTTATTTGGAGTATCATTCACAATCTATATAAGTAATATACAAGACATGAACATGGAAAACACCACAAAGTAATATTGAAATATAAGGTAAGAGCACACACAGTATGTCATGTTTCAATAAATATAATTCAAAAATTTTGGACTTTTGCAGGCTGATTCTAAGTTATTTAAATTTTTATATGTAATGATGCAATGGGAAATTATGCTGAAGCCTTGGACATAATATTTAAATATATAAAAATGTTTAATATTTATCACATCTGTATATCTACTAAGTTGTGCTTACCAAGAAGAAGACAAAAAAAAATAAACTTTTTGAAGATATACCAAACTTCCTGAAGATATGTCCAACTTAATACCTGAAAACCTCAGTAATGAAGTATTAAGCTCACTGTTCCATGATCGTTCAGTTTAAAGTTAACTTATTTATGGTAAAGGCTGAATAATAAGTCATCTAAAGATATTTAGCAATCAAACTTGAAACTAAATTTATGTAAATTTCTAAGAAATAATGTATCAAATGTTTATTTTAAAAATAAGTCATTAACCTGTCAGTCAAGAATATGTTTCTTATAAGTTAGTATATAGACATAAAATACACATGACATTACTGCATTTTATGGAAACTTAAAATACTAATACTATGGTTAAAAATATCTTTCACTTTATAAGAAATTTGAAATAATGAAAATAATTTTATATCATCATGAATGGCACATCAAGATGTTGAGCCAACTGAACTATAACCCTTGCTCAGGCTATTGCCATATTCCTTAGCTAGCCATGCAAAAGCGTTCTAGGAAGAAGAATACTGGATCATACAAGGTCCTTCTTGCATAACATAACTACCATAATACTTACTGCTTATTATAACTTGTGCTGCATTTTATGTTTAATTCCATAGAAAGAAGAGCACATAGGGAGGGACCCATGGCTCCAGCTGTATATATAGGGGGGATAGCCTTGTCAGGCATAGGTGGGAGAGGAGATCCTTGGTCCCATGAAGGCTGGACACCCAGTGTGGGGGAATTGGAGGGTGGGGAAGTGGGAGTGGGAGGTGGGGGCATATCCTCATGGAAGCAGGAGGAGGGGGGAATGTGATAGGGGGTTCCTGGGCAGAGAGGGGGAATGGGATAAGGGGATAACATCTGAAATGTAAATAAAATATCCAATAAAAAGGAAGAAAGAAAAAAAAGAACGTATTTTTAGCTTACAACAATTTACAGAAAGAAACCACAAGGTCTGAGGAATGAATGTATTTCTAAATTATTGTTAACTTATTTTCTTTATCATTGACTACTGAGAAGGTCAAGGATAATCTAACCCAAAATTGTTTTTTCTTTTATTATTAATTAGTTAAATCATACACTATCTTCTTGTTCCTTGTTCCACCATTTTGTATTTGTTACATTTTAACCATATGGTTTGGGTTTACCCAAACTGTATGAAGTCTTGGTTTCATTCCAAGCATCACCAAAAAGAAAAAAAAATAGGAAAGATAATCCTTACCATTGATCATCCTCATCAATATAAAACAGCAGTTTCCTTTTAAACTAAATTTATAGTGGTACAAAGAACTAGGGAAGGATGTAATGTCTAACTAAATATTTACATAATTATGATTACATACTAATGCTCAACAGATATATCTGATTGACAATTTCATTACCAAATCTTTAAAAGTGTTTAATACAAATTTTAATTAACACATTCATAACATTTCCTTAAAATATTTAAATGAATATTTTATATATGTATATATATATAATAGTTATATCAAATACTCCCTATAGAAATGAATTATATGATACTAAAAATCACAATATTTGGGGAAATAGGCCATGTCTTCCAATTTAAAAAATATTCTCATGGCTCTTTCCCTTTTACTAGTCAAATTTTAAAACATGTTAACCCAAATATGTCTTATAATTTTACTCTAGAAAATCTAATTTTACCACTTTATTTGTCAGTTATTCATCAAGACATTGAATGATCTGAGACCAGATTCATTACAATTGGAGGCTCTCAGATGTGGCCCATTGGTTAGAAAACCACATCATTCACTTTAGCGAATGCAAAATGTCATAAAAATTATCAGTTAATTTTTTTCACACCATCAAGCCAATGTGGAGAACGCCTTAGAATAAACTTTGCTGACTCTTCTAAACTCTGATGTCTTGGTCCATTGGCTAGCAACATTTGAAGTATAGCTCACCATAATGAGCACATCACAAATGCAAGTCCTTTCCTGACCCTGTTAACTCAAAGTCTCCTTTACCAAGATCTTTGGGTGACTTGTACCCAGTATAAAGTTTGATAAGGACTGATCTAATGACATCTTACTGCCAACCCAGAGATCTAGGAGCTGGAGATTGTAAAATCTGAATACTTGACTTGGGGGACAAGTTCATGTATCTGTTCTCAAAGTTTCTTTTTACTTTCTTACCCCTGCCCCCATGCTTTGCTCTTAAAATGTGCATTTGGTGGGGGAGGGGGCATGCTTTGGTTTTAAACTATTTTCTTCACAAAATTTCTGTTCATGTGTTTAAAATGTATAGGACAATAATTTTTCTGTCAGTGTACTTAGTTGTTTACTAGTTTGTTTTTACTAACTGCCTTCTCTCTCATTTTCAGTCGGGACATTGCCCTCAGTAAGGAGCAGCCACATTCCAGCTCACAGTGTGCACCTCTCCATTGTCTCTCCAAGCCTCCTTACCCCTAGTTTTCATCTCTCAAGGATGGATATCTGGACTGAAGGTTTTTTAGCCACAGTGAGGGCACTACCTAAGATCTAGCAGGTGTTTTCTTCATGGATGTTACATGTACATGTGGATTCCAGTCCACCATTTTTGAAGAGGAGAGTTCAGAAGAATAAAATGATGCATAAACTCTCGTGTGATCAATTTATGGTTTCTCTGAATCACAGATGACCTGCAATCAAATGGCAACAATTCACTTGAAACTGAAATGAAACACATATTTCAGATAGCTGGCTTCACCTTCATAGCATAAAAGAGATCCAAGACAATGTAAAATAGATATGCTGTAAAATCATCTTTCCCTATACTTCAAAGTCAGCTATAGATGTTGATTTTAATATTTTTCATTGATACTTATTTTATATTTTATTTGCTGTATGGTTTATGTTTATAAAGATAATTTCTGTAAGCAGAATTCATTTATTTTTAAAGAGTCATAGTTTACTCAATTATTTAAAGTTTTAATTTAGTTTAAAATCTGAAACTGGCCAGATTCTGGTCCTTTTTCTTGCAGAAAATTACAAATGAGGTGCATCAGAATGTTAACAATAACTATTTTGCTGCTACATGAATATTCTTTATGCAGTTATTTTCTAATCAGTAGCTCATTAATTGTCAGGTTTTTTTTAACTAGAGTTCTTCACTAAACATTTAAGTAAATCTAAGAAAGAGGCAAAGCTATGATTCATTGACCTAATCAAGTTTTGAAGGTATCTTTAATTTTTTAAAATTGCAGTTGAGTAGATAGATATATTGGTGCTGCTCCTGTGTGTGTGTGTGTGTGTGTGTGTGTGTGTGTGTGTGTGTGTGTATGTGTGTGTGTGTGTGTGTGTGTGTGTGTGTGTGTGGTCGTATTAAAGAAGGTCAAATTACTTGAAGGAAGAAATGGTGTGCTTATTTAATGACCACAATTTTTTTAAACTTTTCCAAATTTAGGGTCTTACTATGGGTTTCCCACTAAAAGGGATCATAATAAATACAAATATATATACATATATAACTATAAGGTAGCCTTGGCAGTTAATTTATGCAGAAAGTGTATGTTTTGCTGTTTGTTTTCTTTTTCCACAATGAATCTTCCTTGCCAAAAAAAAAAAAAAAATAGATAGCTAACCTTAGCTCATTGTCTACTTTTAACAAACACTCAGGTGCCTACAGTCATATTATATTGAGATAAGACATGTTCCTACTTAATTTACAGATTCTGCTAGGTAATTTTATGACTTTATTTAAGGCAATAGAATTTCATAGAAAAATTTAGTTTTTGCATTATTTAGAAAACAAGAACAACAGCTAATTGAGCTGTAAGGTCTAACTTGGATTCCTCAGTTCTCAAGTGCTGCCCACATAATTGCGCCTAACCCTGACTCCTTGTCTTTGTCAGGTAGCCTTAACTTACATAAAACCATAAAGGTTTTATTTTTTCATGTAACAGTATCTTTAACTTCTCTTCAAAACAGAACTAGTCCTCACTGTAAGCAAAACAAAAAATGAGTAGTGTTGTAGGACACCAACAATGGCGATTTGAGAGCTACCCAGCTTGTGGAGGGGAAGATGTGGCATGTTTATGGAGTGGTTCACCTAAGGTCATCTGTCAGCCACAAAGCACATTGCAGAAATGTTTTTTGTTTGTTATGTTTCTGTTGAGTACCAGTCATAGTTACCAAAGCAACCCAAAGATTTTGTGTTGTTTATCGGATTAATAATAGACTCTATGGAACTTCTCATCAGTCAGAATCCCCACATAGTTGTCCCATCTGTATTGCTTGGTTGTTCCTATACATTTTCCTCATTTATTGGTGTTAAGTCTACCTGGTGCCAATATTAGGGAAACAGTACAGATTTTTGTGAGAGTTCAATTAAAGACAACTTCTTCATTCTTTCTTTTCTTTTTCCCCTTTGCTAAGCATGATTCAAAACCCAAGAAATGTCAGAATTACTAAGTTAATTTTGTACCTGAGGAAATAAATACCTCAGAACAAGTTGTATCTTTGGGCTGGGAACTCAACACTGGACATCTTCTCTGTGTAACCACTGTTGACATAGCTGCATTGTGTTTGTGAATAGAGTTCACTTTTTCCAATATGAAATTTATAACTTTCTGTTATAAACTATTTTTATTTTAGTTGTTTGTTTGAATATAGTGGAAATTTTTGTTTTGAAATATTAATTCTCTAAAATATTAATTTTAACAGAACTTTAATAAGAAGATACAACAATTTTGAAACAAATTTCTCATTTTCAGCACAAAAGTAGGTAGTAATTGCTAAGTAGTAAGAGACTATCATGTATTTATGTAATAACATCATTTAGTGCAGTTTAAACTGAGCTGTATTTATATTTATTTATTTACAGACCCTTTCAGTGAATAAATGTAGAGTGCTGATAGAAATGAGTACCTATAAAGATAATATCAGAATGTAAAAAGTGAAAATTGGTAAAATTAAAAAAAAACATGTGAATCTCAATAAAAGAATTGAAGGTGTATTTGATATTAAAATATAAAGTATAGAAATTCTACAAATGCTAATTGTTGTAGACAGTTTGAACAAAGGTGGAAGGTGATGTTTAAGATCAGTTATCAAAGTAACCAACTACTATTATAAAATTTCATTACATTGTAGTGCATGCATGTGTGTGTGTGTGTGTGTGCGCGCATTCATGTACAACTACTACTATAAAATTTCATTACATTGTAGTGCGTGTGCATGCACACACACATACACACACACACTGTCCACAGCATGTGTGGGAAAGTCAGAGGAAAACCTATAGAAGTTGGTTCTCTCCCACAACTGTATGGATCCCAGGGATTGAATTTAGATTATCAGGCCTAGTGGCAAACATCTTTACATGCTGAGCCATCTTATTGGTTCCCACTATTTTTTTTAATGTAAGCACAATTACAAAGCTGAATAGATGAATTAGTATGCAGAAATGCCTTCTCACTAAGGGTTTTCATTAAAACATAGTAGTAAAATAAAAAGAATCAATAAATTGCTTTTGGCCTAAGTGCTTAGGAGCATGAACAAAACTTTGGATGTATAAACCTTTTGCATATCTAATTCTGGATTTAAAAGAAGGAGGAGGAGAAAAAATGAATTTTGAAAACTTCTAGAGAATAGAAATCTATAAAGGAATGAAGAAAAGACTTATTTGGAAATTATACTTTATATTTGCCTAAAGGAGAGGAGGTACAATAATGAAATCCAACAAAAAGAACTTAACAAATGACAGAGAGTAGCTACAGAGCCCATAAGACTAAATGAGAAAGGTTAATAGTACCTGTAGGAAAGAGATATTTTAAAGTGGAAAATTAATCATTGGATAGTTATAAAGATTTGTTTTCAAAAGCTGGAATAATACTGGTAGTCTTATAAGCATAGACAATTTACAATAATATATAATCCTAGGAGTCCACAAGTCTATGATTCTTTTGTTTTAAAATTTAAAATATATTGAATTTTTACTGATTGGTCATGGAATATTTTTACTTTTAAACTAGGATAACAATCTTAATTTTCTAAGATATTTATTATTTTTAAAAGGATTTCTTTAAAGTTATCTGAAGTGTAGCAACTTCATTTAAAGAAGCTTCAGTGTCAGAGTCTAGAAAGCAAATATACCCAAGAAAACTTCATAAATAGAATGTATGCAATCTCTTAGATGAGACAAATACTTTTTAAATTTTATTTACTCACAAAGATCTTCTGTCTTTAACATTTGCTTTATCTATGCTGTAGAACATGTTCTTATACCGATAAGCCCTTCTCTATTAGGTAAGCATGAACAATTGGTCTATAAAACTAGCCAAGAATGTGGATGTTCCCTCATAAACTATATCAAATAAAATCCTCTCTAATAACCAAACACAGGTTACAAATAATTATATGAATAAATCAAATATATTTTCTACTGTGATAAATGTCAAGTTTTATTGTATAAGTCAGACAAAAGATTTAATCTTTCTTACAAAGAAATCAGTGGGCAGGAGTAGGGAATAACTTAGCCATGGGGTGTTTGCTGAACTCTGTGTGAGAGGATAACACCCACTGCACTACAAAACAAACAATAAAACAAACACTGATATTTCCCTGAATAAAATCCTGTTCATTCAATCCAAAGATGTCACAAATGAATTAATATTGTACATATAATGAAATTTGTAAAACACACAATGTTCAAAACTTTTGTTTTTAATAAATCAGAGTGATTAATTTTGCATTAAGACTGTAAAATTTACAACTTTTCAAATAAAGCAGAAAGCTACTGAACTGAAGTCATGTTAGTCAGTATGGCCAGTGCCAAGGTTGAAAAGTACTTACTTCAAAATCAGTGTCCTAGCTCCTGAGTTATCATATCCATTTTCTGTAATAACCCAACATGAGTTTTTTTTTAAATAAATTTATCTTTAAATGTTGTTTTAACCACCAGAGTCCCTAATATCTTGCAGCCTGTTTTTTATTTTGATATCTAAAAGATTTCAAATAAGATATTTCTTTTATTGCTCAAGACATAAATTAATGAGATAATTGGTGTTAAAATTAAAATTTTTCTTAGATTAGGGATTTTTCAGAAATGACAATCTGTTTATGAGGGGCAAGCAATTAACCTCCATTAGTGTAAAGCAAGAGTATAAGATGTTTGCATGAAATATTTCACATCATATAAGCTTTCCCATACCCATAACATTGACTCTATATAGAAATCTTACTTGTTGTGTGATATCACCATTAGGAATGAAGGAGGCTGTTACATGCACTGAGTCTCCTTTCTATACTGAAGTGCATGGCTTTATCTCTCAAGTTTATTTTTTCATCTCCCAGATGGAGTTATTTAATAATCTGCCACATTTGAACTGAAGCTTAAATGACCTGCTGATTCAGATAATTTATGAGATTAAAGTTTGATGGCTCTACATTTGCTGAGAATTTATTTTTATTTTAACTTCTGTATATAATCAGTCTCTGCTCAATATACCTCTCTAGTGAGACCATTGAGAAGTAAATTTGATGCTTCTTAGTGTGGATGTATGCTTTTTTTTCTTCAAAAAATATTTTTTTACATTTTATTTATTTATTAATTTTTTAGACAGAGTTTCTCTGCATAGCCCTGTTCTGTAGACCAGGCTGGCCTCAAATTCACAGAGATTCACCTGCCTCTCCAAAAAAGTCTTTATCAGAGAACTATGAAGTTAAGGGAAATGATACTGCTGTGTTGACAACTCTTTATCTTGTAAGGGAAAAACAGAAGGAATCATTGGGTTCATAGCTATGACTATGTGTCATATCAGATGAAATACTTTTTAATGGTATTGCCACAGGTTAAGCTCAATGGTTTGACTGTTAGAGTCAATTAAACAATTTTTGAAAATACTTTATGATTTTTTGTAATATATACAGTGTCTTTATTTGCATGGCTATGCATATATGAAGATGTGATTCTAATGTTGTGCTTTTTTCCCATGTTAAAATTTGTGTTGTATGTGATCTAACCTAATTTCTACACTACATGATTGTTCTTGTAATGATTCAGTTATTCTTACCTTTATTATTATCCCTTTGGGGTGTAAATGATGTGAAGTGTTTCTATCTAATAATAATACCATGAAAACATGACTGAAAGACTAATTTAAGAAATGCCTTTCTTGCTAATTATTTTTGAAATCCAAATGTCAGAGACATCAAAGACACATGCATTTAAGTGCAGAAAGTTTTTATAAATTTATTGTTTGCTGTTCTTTTTACCTTTTTGTAGATAATCCCAAATTAATCTCTCAAAGGAGAAT